CGAATCTGGAATCTTTATGTGACCTGGAAGTCGTCGGAATACAGACATACTAACCGTGTCGGTAGCGAGATCGTACGGATCGTACGGTTCCTGGGCTGTCTCTTATACACATCTAGATGTGTATAAGAGACAGGTTCTGAACAGGGGGAGTTATAAGGAAGAAGATAAAAAACTGAATTCATTTTTTCCTGTTTTTCTTCCTTTTTTTCTTTTTGTTCGCGCGTTTGCGCTCTGATACTTTTGTGACAATATATCTCCCCCCCCCCCCACCCCCCACCCCAAAAGATATTATACAATGTACCGCCTTCGCGCTCTGATTCACAGTGTGACAATATATACAACGTGTACCGGTTACTCGTAATTTGATGGTCCTTGTTTGAAAAGTAAAGGAGAAAGTGGGTATGGCAGCATGTGAAGGGTATGGCAGTTAAAGTAAAATCAGAATTAAGATTAAGGAACAAACGCAAGAGAGGTGGCATGGGCTTGTTTTCCATTTCCGCCACTCGAACTCTGGCCTAAACAGACAGCCACGTCCAGGGCATGCACCTGGCCTTACCTCAAAGGCGGGTGCATTGTTAGTGAGAAATGAAACTAGAGTCCGTACAGCCACAATGAGGGTGCGTTGTGTTCGAGGGGGTCGCCCAAGATTTCGCCTGGTCCGGATTGCGTCACCTGACGGGCCGAAGCTGACGGGTGGCAGCAGCGTGGATGATGAGAACCATCGGCGATTTTTTTTTTTTTTTTTTAAATTAAACATCCTGTGAAGACCTGCAATCCTGTGGTGATCGGGGGGGATTATTACTGAAATGAGCCGACGATAAAATAGATGAGTTTATAGCAATCAAATAGAATTATGCGTCAGAAAGAAAGAAAGGAAAAAAGAATTATGCGTAACACAGTGACAATGTGGGACGCAACAGATGACTAATGGCATGCTAGCGCATACTCGCGCTCTTACTTCTTGGGACGTATGTGGCCCATATCACGCCCGGATTCTATCGAATAAGCTCTAGGCTCGAGTCTGATCTAAACAAGCAAACAAAGTGACACATTGGTCCAATCAAGATCTTCCTCGTTCCGCTCTTATTCCTTCCGCTCGCCTCTCAGTTTCTCGCCGTTGCTTCCCCCCTCGTTTCCCCC